AAGTCATCCCAGCGTGGGAGAATGCCATACCAAGTTATTTCAAGTCTGTCTCTATCTCCTTCTCCTTTATTTACTACTCTATCAAAATTCTACTTTCTCCAGGGGTTTGCCTGATTTTCTAATATTTAATGTCTGCAGAATTTTGAGATAACATACTCTATCATAAAAAGCCAGCCAGTGCTTTAGAAAGTGTCATGTGTGAAAACTGTTATTACAGCTGGAAATAAAAACAGGGAGTTCATCCTAAGAGTCACCATGGCAGCGTGCATACGCATGCCATGGGGTTACAAACATCTCTGGAATTGTATGCCCACTATGGCCTCTAATGTTCTTTTAAGTACCACCTGCTCACCAATCTATAGATCCTTTAATCTCCAGTTCTGATTCATTATCTGACAACATAATCAGATAACCTGTACATAATGTCAAATAACCTGTACATAGAAAAACTGCTAATTATTCTTATTCCCAAATACCTGGAATATTTGTCAAACAAGGCTAGAGTCTGCAAAAATTTTTCCATGAAAGGTCAGACAGTGTTTAGTTTTATAGGCCATCTGGTCTGTATTGTAGCATCCGGCCATTTTTGAAAGCAGTATAGACAAACGCATAAATGAAGTGCTTCTGAGCTCTAGTGAAATTTTACTAACAGAAGCAGCAAGGGCTGGATTTGGCCTGCAGGTCACAGTTTGCTGACTCCTATTCTAGACATTTCTTAGAGTTTTCAGGGGTTGAGAGAAAATGAGCTCAATTTCCTCAATATGATGTGGGAGTCCTCTGTAGGAAAGAGTTTAGTTGACATATTCAAGGTCACACTTTTATGATGGAATGAGGTCTAACAAGCAACTCACCTGTGGCAATAGCCTAGCCTTTTTTAATTTATATGTTATTTTGGTATTTGATTATATTATATTTAGCATTTAATTACAATTTGATGTTATTCTCTTGTTGTTTTATGTTGTATCACCTTATGTGGATCCTTCTATTATTGCCACTTATGGAAAATGTGAAGATACACACACACACACACACACTCACACACATATCTCATTTTATGTATATCTACATATATATTTGCATATAATACATATGTAGTATTTAAAAAGTACAAGGCAAACTGATATCAATAAATATTTCTAGTAATATCCTCTAGGAGAAAGTGTGTAAATGTAACATTTACTTGATTACTTAATTTTATGGTTATATATTATATTTCAATTAAGGAGATTATGAGGTTGCCAATGTTTAAATTCTGATAATTTGATAGTTACTTTTCACAAAAAAGTATTCTCTAATGTGCTCTTATTTTTCCTGATCTCAATTTTATTCTGATTTTATAATTCAGGAGTACATTATTTTTAAATTTATTTCTAACTGAGGTTTAAAATCAATAAAAAATACTATTTGGTATTAAAATACTAATTTGTTACATAAGTCAATTTTAATTAAATGTAATAAGGATAAACTACCTTTGGGTTTTAAAAATGCTTTATTTTTAAGTAAATCAATCATTCAATTAATTCTTTATCAACTGCATTTTGGTTACTTTTAATGCAAGTATAGGTAGTCAAATAGGCAAGGTATAGGTCAGACTAGAAAAAGATGCTCCCAGCATGTTCCTGTCCATTTCTTACCTGGCTCAGCTCCTGGTTTCCGTCAGGTCAATATGTACTCTGATGTTTCCTTGACAAGGACCAGACCCCTGGAACAACACAGCCCCTTCCCCAGCCCCTTTCACAGTCAAGCTCCTTTGTAGTGCCCCTCCCCACCTCAAACAATGAATGTGCCTTTGTGTTCTTGGTCACTTTCTTGACACTACACCATTGGCTGCACAGGGCAGAACATGTGGATTTTATGTGCTCCTGCCCTTCCAGCAGGTTGGACTCATGCCTGAATGAGTAGGGAGAAGTGAGTGAATATTAACACAACCACGGGAACCTTACAAGCAATGCTCACTGTGGTTAAATGAGAACTCAAGCCAACAATATAAAAATTGGTCTTGAAAGAATCAGATAATAGAAAAAAAAAATCAAAGATGTATATTGTTGACCACTATTTTATAGTAAATTTGAACAATGAACATACAATTTTTCACTTTGTAGTATAGACTTGTGGACTGATTACTTTAAAAACACATTTTTGTGCTCATTTTTTCAATCTTTTACATTGAACTTTCTGGGGAATATGATGACACATACCTGCCATCTTTCCCAGAGGTACTTGCAGTCTATGAAAAATAAGAAATCTAACAATATTTTAGGAGAATGGATTTGTTCATTTTAACTTCAGATTGGTACACACTTGAATGGTGAAATAATAACAATTCATTTCTCTGGTGTCTTTGGGGACTTAACTCCACCTAAGTGAATTTTTAAAACAAATAGTTTATTCCTTCTATTGATAAACATGTTTCTGTTTATATATATCTGAGATAAGAATCATTCTAGAATATCGAGTTCAATTCCTTATCTTATGAAATGGAGTTCTAAGCATATGTGAACATATTTTGGAAATAAAAATTACCTTTCTAAAAATTAACTCTTGTGCCATGTTGCATGTTGACAATGTACTTCTAGACATAGAGGTTAGTAGGATTTACTTTTTTTTTCTTTTTTCATTCATTTATTTTACATGTGAATTTAGAGCTTGTACCCAGTACCAAGATCACTGAAGCATTGGCACTGACAAATCATCAAATACTGTATTTCCATAGAGCTCACAGGCTAGTGGGAGAGAAGAGCAGAGAAACAATTACATGAGTCTCACATGATGGTGCTGAGTGCTGGGAAGGAAAATGAGGTGGATTGAGAGTAGATGCTATGGCAGCACGGTTTCAGCCACAGACATGAATATTTCTGATTATAGTAACTTTTTAGATGGTGATTGTTCTATGTTCTCCCTTAGGGATGTCGCTTCCTTTTTCTTCCCTCCCTCCCTCCTTCTATTCCTTCCTTCCTTCCTTCCTTCCTTCCTTCCTTCCTTCCTTCCTTC